CACTTCCATCAGACTAGTGAAAGACTTAAGCAAAGATGTCTGCAACTGCTTTGAAAGGTATTAGTATGAAGCAAATCACATCAGTCTTGCATGGAGAGGATTCATTCCACTAGATCCCTACTGTATTCTTAAGGTATTTATGATTATTTTGTAAAAATGGTTTAAAAGGTCTGATCTATATCCTGCAAGTACTGCTCATTTTCCCAAGCCACGTGAGAAGGGTACTTCTGTGTCTTTCTTACATTCACTGTGTCACAAAGTACATTAGCACAGGTAGGAAGGACTTGTCAGAGCTAGGATTGAGGAGACTGGGAGGCTCAGCTCCTCACCCACCACAGGCTTGTCACACAGCATAAACCCCCTTATGGCTCAGATCAAAAATCTGAAAGATACAAAAGGGCACTTTTCCACAAGAGATATTCTGAAGCAAGACACTGAAGCCTGCACAGTGCCTGAAGGACTACCGCAACTCCAGAGAAATAAATTACACATTTAGGACCCTGCTTACTGTCTTGTCAAGCTGTATACATTCACTTTGTTGTGTGTGATACAGAACTTCATTTCAAAACCTGCTAGAGATTGAAACACAGATGGTTGGCACAAGGAGATACTCTGGCACAGCTACACGATAGAATTAACAGGAGGTTGTGAAACATGGATCGGGCATCTAAGAGTCAAGCCCTCCTTCAGTACCACAGGTGTGCCTTTGGCAACATCTGAAGAGGTTGCTGGGGGCAGGAAAAGAGGTCACTGCAGACACAGCGTATCACAATACCCAGTATAGAAGACAACTGAGCTGCTGCTAAACAGAGAAACAGTGATGGGCTACAAACCCATGGATCCTGATCTCAGTTGCCACCACTTTGAAAAACGGTCTGCAGATGACAATTATGTTTTTGTCCATTTTTACAACACAAAAGCGAAATCTTGAGACCAGACGACACGCAGGAAACTGCACAGAGCTGTCAGCAACTGTCTTGGCTATGTGAGAACTTAAAAGCATTCTACCTCCGTAGTCACTAGATGGAGCCATCTGGCATTTGACGCGTGCCGCTCCTCAAGCATTTGAAACTCAAGATTTCATGGCTCTGCTAAAGGTCAGGATTGTGTCAGATCTAAACATACTAACCAGGACGTGTTGTGAAGTACAGTTTGTCTACCTATTTCCCCTTCTCACCCCCACCTCGTGTTTTTTTTTCCTCTTTTTTTGTGCAAGGACCCCTAACAGACATTCAAATAGCCTTCAGGTAGAAGCTAAAATAATCTTGAAGAATATTACCTTACGTCTTTGTCTTTGAAAGCGGGCTGGGAAGCAGAGTGGCAGGAAGGTAATCTTCATAAACTATGGAACTCTGACACAAGAAACTCCCCCAAGCCACAAGAAACATTTACACCATCTAGTTATCCCAAAGGGAGAGCAGAGGAGTTGCGCGTGTTACTGTACAGCAGCTCTGAGTATATCCAATCCCTTGTGCAAAGGCTTATTTAGACAGGACCAGGCAGGAGGCACATGGAAAGCAGACAATTAATAAATCAGGCCATTATTTCCCAAACATGACAGATGCTTTGAAGCCCAGGACACCTCTCCAGAGTCTCACGATTTTGTACTTTACCTGTAGTTGTATCAGACTCTACACTTACCTGAAAGTACCAAATATACTCAATTAGGAACAGAAATCCCAGAGATGGCAAAGAAAAATGCCAAGTCTGATTCTTCTTCATCTATATGCTGTAGCATAAGGTATAAGTTGCCCTTTAGAAACTCAAATGGACTAAGCATCTAGTAAGCGGACAACAGTTTATTAAATGTTCATTCCCTGTGGACTGCTTTCCTTTGACTAGTATTGTCTTTGACTCTATAGATCAAAGCCTTTGTGCAGACCACTTGATTTTAGTAGCGTTCTTCATCGATTTTTACCTTTACAAGAAACCTAATCTGACCAGATGTGGAAGATGAAGTACTGGATATTAGCTTAAATACTTCAATCATTTTGTCTTTCAGAATTGCCTGTGTAGAATGAACATTAACACCAATGGTGGTTGCACTGGCACCAACGTGAGCACGAACTTTGCTGCTGCACAGGGTAGTTAAGTAATCCGACTGACATAAAGACCACCTTGGAACCAGCCTGCAGGGCTACACTGGTAACAGGGATTATTTTGTCAGTCATTGAAAATGAAGGCTTTTAATGCTCCAATTTACACTGCAATACAAAGACTCAAATGCTGTGAATACAAATCTTATTTGCAGCTATTGGTGCCAAAGAGAGGCATGTAAATCAATCCACCATGAGCCTGCACCACAGTCTGTGGGAGACTGAAGCTCTTGCTGCCTTGATTTGTAACAGCCCCTCTTCCCTCAAGGCTTGCCTAAGCTTCCACCCATATTCTTAGCTGATGTACCTAATTATGATGAACAAGTATTTAGAAAAGCTAATGTAGAGCTTGAACTTCTAGGAAACTGTATATAATCATAATGGACTGGCATGTCAAAAATCACAGATCTTCTACTTCCAAGAAAACCGAATCACTACAAACTGGCATGTAAGAAAGCTAAAGAAGCCCCTTAATGAAGTTTTAAAGACTTAATTCAGTTACTTGTGTTAATTCTGAACTTCACCAGAAAACCTAACTCAAATAAATTTATTTGGCATATGTTTATACAGAAATTATTTTATTTTCTTTGGGACTTACAGGGACCAGTCAGAAAAGTGAAGGAACTAAGGAAAGGACTCTCTCAGCCTGCATCACAGAAGACACAAGTCAGTTAAATCCTATTTTCTGTCTTGCAATCTACGCTGAGGAGACATCTCACAAGGATTCAGAATACTGCAAGGCTGGTGGTTCTAGTTTTGGTTTGGTTTGGTTTGTTTTGCAACAAAAGACAGAGACGGCTTTGAGGGGAAATCTTACCATCACCTCCATTTCATTTGACAATGACTGTCTTGCAGCACTTAGAATAAAAAATAATTTAAAACCTCATAAGTGCACCTTGAAAGCTACTTGATACACAAGGACTTTCACATCTGCTTCAATATCAGTAAGTAATTTTATTTCTGTTCCATAATCCAAAAAGTATCAGAAAGAAGAGCATTAACCAGTCAACTGTCAGCATCCAGCTAAGAATTAAACAAGACTGAAAATCCACTCAGAGAGAAGCAATATTAATTCTCTCCATCTTAAAAGATACTAGAGTAAAGGATGTGGACAAAAGTCTTAATATAGCTCCTTTCTCTCACTGATTTTGTAAAAGAACATACAAAAATAACAGTCCATTTTAATGTTGCAGCTTTATTTGAAAGTGACTTAAAAGTTTTGGTAATACAATTTTTTTTATACAAAATTGATACAATGAAAAATAAACTTCAGAGGTTTCCTAGAGCAGATTATAGGCATCAAAAATACTATATAGAAAAAGTGAACTTTATTCAAAGTCTTGTTTGCAGACCAGCACCAAGTGATCCTGAAAATCTAGTTTTAAACCATGTGCTAAACAAGCCCAAAGCCCACCCACAAACTCGCTTCCTAAGAAAGCGAAGTCTCATTGCAGTTGTCCTACCTCACTGTGTTTTGAATTTAGAGTACCAGTTGTGACTAACTGTACACAAGAAACAGATCAAGATTTCCAACAATATCTTCAGTGAGTGAAGATCAGCCTTCAGATACCTGGTATTTTAAAGTTTTTTAAGGAGTCATGAACAAGGTATTTGGACGAAAACTCTGTAAATTGCAATTTCCAGTGAACTCAGAAGTCCATAAAACAACCAACCCAAACCAGTAATCCCAAGCCTTGTAACAGTTCCTTTTAAACTATTTCATTTTAGCAGAAAAATTTCACAGATCTTGGGATCACTAGTTATTTTTATTCCTATATCTACAGTACCTCAAAATCCCATCATATAAAGTGGCAGTATTAATAAGACCCAGAGGAAGAAGGAAAAAACAAAATATGTCTATGCAGTCCTGCAGATCTTTTACCACTTACCACATGCTCAGTAGAAAGTAAAGCTCTTCCCCAAACTCATCTTTTTTTAATTTTATCTTTGTCTGAAACCAAGTTTCTCAAATAGAAAATCTATTTGGAGAACAAACTTTCTCATTACACACACAGTTCCTCAAACATCCCATTCTGGCGATTACTGTACAACCTAGCTTCATGCCACCCTTTTAGTCACAGGAAAGATATCATTCATCAGATATTGAGGCTATATAGAGCTACTAGACAGGAACAAAGTATTACTACTCCAACTGTGAAAATACCTGCAACTGTAATTCTTACACTCCTTGCATCCCACAAAGCAAAATGGTTCTGTATCACACAGTATCATGCAATTACATGACACTCTGTAGAAGACTGCAAGGCTGTTTTCTGCTAGGTTTGCTTCTCACTTTACGATTCCTGGGCTCACAATCTGACTTGGTTTATTGTGGCCATTCATGTAGGTGTGCTAGGAACAGCATCAGTGTGAAAGGATGCTAAACTAGTAACACTAGAAAATCTGCAACTTTAAGTCTTCCCTAGAAACTGAAAGTCTCCCTAGAAATTGCACTTCTTTTTCTGGGCTTTCTGCCTTTTTCTTTCATCTCTTGACACATCCCCCAACCCTCCTTTATTGCCACTCTCCACCCTGTGATACCAATGTAAACAAATCCCAGTGACAGAATAATCAAGTTTTGACAGTGAAAAGGAAAAAAAAGCACCATACCATTAAGCTTTGTTCCTTTCGTAAAGCTACAGCAGCATTTAAACACCAAAGCCTCACCCATATTACTGCTTAAAACCTCAGTCCCAGGTCCTTTTTATTAACATACTCTGCAATGCTTTGGGTCCTGGTATTAAAATGGAAGAGATATTGAACATACGTGATCCCGCGATCACGGGTAGTAGTTTCTGTGAATTTCTAGCTACATAAATCAGCGTGCAGCAGACCTACTTCGTGCCTGGTGACATTTACAATGCAGATCTAGCTCTCCTGTGAGGCTGACGAGTCATTCACTATTCACTGGCACTGAACAGTTTTGCCATAGCCACCTCTTCCAGCATCATAGTCTTGCCGATATTCATCTCGAACCTTACAAAGGAGGGAAAAAGGGAATTCCAGTAAAGACAAAGAAAACCAATGTCTCAGAAACTATTATACCATCAAAATAATCAAAATGAGTTCACAGCATGTAAGTGGCCACTTACATGTTGTGAACTGAACAAGTAGCTGACTGACAAAAGAGAAGGCAAAGCACATCATGCAGCAGGCCAGAACACAGCATAAACTAACTTCCTTTTTAATGATGCCCAGGGGGACTCTATTTAATTGCAGTAATCACCAGCCTCATGCTTCTGCAGTAAAAGCACCCGCCACCTGCTCAACTTCAGGTAAGCTAGGTGCTGTCCTCTGTGTTCTTGACAGCCTTATGTTTTCTGGGCTTATTTGTAAGTGCTGTCTCCCCTAGCAGCCACGCAGTTTCTGAAAGTATTTTCAATTAAATGTATGAAAAAGTTATTTATTCTTGGTAGATAACATCAAGATAAGATGGATAAGATGTCCCGCAGACTAACGTACAGTGCTATCTTAAACACTGACTTGTAAATAACTATTTTTGAAGTTGTTCTGAGTGTGTTCATACAAAAACCAGTAATTTGGCAATGTCAGCAGTCCCTTAAAATCTAGACCGCACAACAACCTACCTGGCCCCCTGCTCTTCCACGACCATACTGTCTACCCTCCTTAAATCCTGCATCCCAGTCTGTCCTTATGATCCTATCATCAAGTCTGGTTCCATTGATGTATCGCATCGCATTTTCAGCATCTCCTCTTGCATAGTACCTTAGGAATAAGTTAATGGGAAAAAAAGAAAGGCTTCTATTTTCAACATATGGAAAACCAACTCTGAATGGGCCACAAAACCAAGTATTTGCTTGATTCAGGTTCTTGCTCAGTTACTTTTAAAAGCAACTGCATTTATGAAGCTATGTAAGCTAAGAAAACTGCTAGTGAATCAGCAATGTGCAGGAACTCAAGCACACTAAAAATGCATATATTGGATCAAGTTCTTCAACCATGCTCACCTGCAAAAGCACAAAATTCTATTACCAAAGTAAGAATGCAAAGTGCTCTGCATTCATTGCATGGCAAAGCACATCCACCATTGACATAGCAAACTTTCACCATTTCTGTGACTTTGCTGGAACCAGTAACACAATGATCTTCAAAGAGATTTGCACATAACGAAGCCAACACATAACAGGGAAACAACACATCCACAGAAACCACGGGTGAGATTGTGTGGGGAAAAAAAAGACCTCTTTACTTAGGTACTGAGAATATGCTTTTACTACAGAGGCCAACTATCTAACAAGCGTGTGGCTTAATGCATCAGAGTGAAAGCAACCCCGTAACCCCCACTCGACGTGCAGGGTATGTCAGAATTGTAGAATCGTTCAGGTTGGAAAAGACCTTTAAGGCCGTAACTGCTAACCTCGCACTGCCCTCTCTCTCCCAGAACTCCCTCAGACACCTTGGCAACCGAGTAGCTTTACCCTCGGGTAATCCCCCCGTGTCCCGGAGCCCGCATTCCTGTTCGCCCGCGGCCCA